ACATCCGACATGGATTATGAAAAAGCGATCAATATCACGTCATACAGCGTGTTGTGGGTTCAGCATGTTATGAATTCCTTCGTCAAGTCCGTTTCAAAAATATAAAAACCATTTCTGAGTAGATTCTACACACTCCACACTCTTGAGATGTATGGATTATGGACAATTTAGCTGGTATACCAAATTGTACGGCTCTGGACCCTTTAGATTTCGATTTGTGTCTCAGGATGTCTCAGAAACTGTACAAAGATTGTTGTTAATATTCCCATGTTAAAAGATTAAATTTAAACAGTCTTAAAAAATAATAAGCCACTGTACTGAATAATTCAATTTTAGATATGAATGAAGGTCAAGTATAAATAACTTCGAAATTAGAAAATGGTTTTACTTTGGTAAGGAAATATTCCTGGAAATTTCTGTATAAACGGCCGAATCGCTTTGAAGTTCCTTTCCAATACGAAATAATTTTGTTTATACATATATTTTAGACGAAACATTCTGATTTAATATTAGACTATTGTGTTTCCAATTTTAAACAAAATTCTTTCAGATTTCCTTCAATGGGCATAGTATGTTTTTATTCTTTATTAAAAATTGACTAAAAATATGTAAAGCATTTGGTACTTCAATTTTTTCAAACATAAGAATTGTATAGCCTGCTTAGTACAAAATAGTTTTGAAACCGAAACGCACTCGTCCATCATTGTCACCCACTCTCTTACCCTAATAAGCACACGTTTTATCAATATAATACATGTAACTGATTTTAACGTGCATAATGTATCCGAAAAGGACTAATTGAGGATTTTCACATTGACTAGTTCGGCTAAAGCATATACGTGCAAAGAAATCAGTGTGAAAATCAAGGAATATCTTATTGCAATTTTAACTTATGGTTTGTTTCTGACAAATTAATTTAATTTCCCAATATACCACATAAAAGCCACCCAAAGCCACTTAACATTTTTTTCCGGTTAAACAAAAATAACAGTTTAACAAATAATGTGTAATATTTAGTATCCGTTAATTATTGATTATTTAAAAACCGTGAAATGCTATCTGGTGTGATGTGCGTTAGAAAAACATTTTCTTTATTGTGCCAATTTCAATTTGTATTGACATCATCATCAGTCTCTGGGATTCATAAACATTGTTTAAATTATACAAATACGTATAACATACAAACATGGATTTATATTATTATGTACAAAATATAGAAATTTTATGTTTAGTCAAAGTATTTGTACACACTCAAAGTGTGGATTTTCTGTGTAGCCGCGTAAAATTTCCATATTGTGTACATCATTGTATAAATTCATATTCATATCTTGCAGGTATTTGTATAATTTAAACAATGTTTATAAATCCTAGGCACTGAAGATCTCACTAATGATCGAAACGTTGACACGACAAAGAAAACGTTTTTCTAAACCCACATCACACCAGACCGCATCTTACCATCTTTAAATAATCATTAACAATTAATTGAACTAAATCTGTCGATATTAAAAGGACTTTATCAAAACCCATAAATATAAATTCTCATGTTATGATAAAAACTAATAGAAATAGTATTTTATATCTTTATAACACCATTTGTGTTATAGTTTACAGTATATCACTTACCACAATTTCCTATTTAGGCTATAATGTTAATTTACTAGATGTACTAGTGTTATTAACCATATTTATTATTTATCGGATTATTTAATTTGTTTTACATTATCAGAAAGCTATTAAGAGCCAATAATTAAAGACTCAGTGGCACTGTCTTTTTTTTTAAATCTCAAATCTTGTGTTCAAAAAATAGTAATTACCGAATGGAACTGAAACCGATAAGCAAGTAATATTTGAATAATCATTATAGTATTTATTAGTTGACAAGAAACATAGTGTTTGTATTTATATTTTCAATAAAATATGTAGTGAAAATCAGATTTCTGATCGGAATGTCCCAAGTAAAAAGGTGTGAAGTAAAAGAGGCACTGCTTACTTTCAAAAAATTAATACTCTCTTCGATAAACCAGTTCACAAGCGTGTCTGCTTATGTGCGTGACTGGTTGCAACACGTGGTCTGTACCCACAAGAGGATATTGTTCTTAAATTCGTAGGATTTCTGTCATTCCACACCTGCGTTGGATTCTTTTTCATTGATTGCTGACAAAAAAGGTTTGGAAGAAAAAAAAACAAGAAAAAGATTTTCATAACAATACAGGCCATCGATTAAGAGGTACCGTATAAAGAATAGTCGGCCAGGAATCAGTCAGGAAATATATTTTTGAAGCAGACGAAAAGAAATCCGTCATTATCCATAATTTAATTCAATTAATAAATGAACGATCCATTTAACTTGGTTTGTTTTTTTCTGTCAAAGCTGTCAAATGCAATAATCACACATCCGATTACTAATAATTATTGAACGTGGAGACAAAACTGTCGGGTTGATTAAAAATATGGGTACTAATAATTGGATCTCTAATGCACAATGCATGTGGTTAATTCATCAAATTTCCTATGATCCTTAGCGCAGTATTTTGATAAATCTTCATTTATTTAAAATTTGTAGTACGGATGTTCGATCATATGTGGCAGCATACGTATGAATTGGTCTTAAGTTGAAGCTGAAGTTATGCTTCTTATGCGAAACTGTAATTATTAGTTTAGTAGGTTAAAAATAAGATTATTATAATGATTAAAATATTTGAAATTTTGAACCTATTGTTTTAGTTATAATGAAATTAAAAGTCGATATTGATACAATAATAAAGATAATCATTGTTTACAGCACCAAGTTAAATAATTTTGCTCCTTTTATATTAAAAGTCGGTCAGGGATGAAATAATTGAAAAATAAACCATTTAGCTCTTTCAGACTGTATAGGAAAGATTCCATTCATTAGGCCGTGATAATTTAATCATTAATTCAAGAGGTTAAAAAGATTAAAATCTTTTAACCATGTTGAAACCTATGGTTTTAATTATAATGAAATTAAAAATTGATATGATATAAATAAATAAAACGAGATCAAACATTACTAACACATTTTATAACAAAAGATTAATTTATAACTGATGTTTTTTAAAACATAATTTGTAGTAGCAGCAAGAACGAAAGTATAGACATATTTTGAGCAAAAATTCAAAAATATTTTTATTCTGGAATACTGCTGATTACTTTTTATATTTCAAAACAACAGTATTATCTACATTACAAGTCGTGGCCATTTACTTTAATTTGCCTTTTCATTGTAACCAAAGGTAATTTTTCACGTACAATCTGCTGATTCTCTTAACACTTTAATAACGCATTATGCCTACCTGGTGGTCAACCTTTTTTTCACATGTAACACCTTTTTTCTCAAAATTTTAAAGTCCTTTCCATTCTGAAAAAATGATACAAGAAACTTGAAAATTTATCATTCTAAGTGTAATGAAGTTTCCTTTCTGAACTCGATAATTTCGGTATATCATAACTGGTTAAAAAAATGAGAAAATTTAAAATATAATTTTATTTGATTTTTTAAATCTAATTTTATACAACATCAATCAGTTAAATTTAGTTTAATTTCATTATTTTCTTTGTTTATATGTAATTCTGACGTTTTTGTAGTCAATCTCATGTTTTCTGCCAATTGTGCGACATATTGATCTTTAAGAATGTAGTCCTAGATGTTTGATTAGATTCTTTACAAATTGTATCGCACAATGTATTTTTTACTACATGGATATACCTACAATATGTTGAGATTAAATTTAACTGTTTTATACCGTATCTGTGGCTAAATTCAATTAACTTTATCATTTATTAAATCCATTATATTTAGTGGTCTATTGGCCAAATTACTTCTTTCAATTTTTATTGTTAATCTTTTTATGTAAGGTTTTCTTCGAAATGAAAACGCTAGTGCCACGAGCGGGATTCGAACCCACGTCCATCGGCTCAATACGCCGCTGCTCTAACCACTTGAGCTATCGTGACTTCGATCCATTCGGACACCAAATCCCCGTCTCAACCTACAACCTTTCGAATTTTCCCTCTTTTTTTTGCCATTTTTCAAATGTCGTGCAATCAGGATTATCATTTATCTAATTATAAAATACGAACTGTTTGCCAAAACTAAATTCTTTTTTTATCTTAAGATTTAATAATTTTTTGTTAATTCATTAATGTACACACATAAAGCAAATATACTTTGTATTATTTTTTTGATATTTATTTTTAGTAGTACTGTGTACTTGGGTGGTAGTATTACCATTTTGTACATTATAAAATTTATATTTTTTTATAGTTTTAATTAATTATTATTTAATTAGATATTCTTTTAAAATTCTTTTTGTTAGAATAATTAATGTATGAGATTTTAAATAGGTATAATGAAATTTAAAATAATTCAAAATTGAAATTATGTTAAACTAAATATTCGAGCTGAAAAAAAATTTTTTTCTTAGTGTGGTTCGACTGTTTGACAGGAATTGTCAAAGATGGCGACAGACAAAGTCAACACTGACACACTTCACCATTCATGACAAACATATAAAAGGAACCTGAAAAATAGCGAAGTACTGAAACGCATCTGCCAAACGAACAACGATCTTTCCAATTTAACCTTTACAAATGGTACAGTGTATAGTAGAGATTATAACGGTGTCTGTAAAAAAGTGAGTTATTGTAACCACATGGGCATTAAAAATGGCAAAAATCACTTAACAGAAATGAAATATGATAGAACAGAAGGCATTCATTTCGAAAGGGTTACAATGTCAAGACTGAAAAGGTCTTTTCTTCGTCGAAGACGACGCCAAGTCTTTCAGTCGAGGCTTAATGAAAAGAGCGTGGGTGCACAGGTATTGTATGATAATGATTGTGTGCGTGCCTGCGTGTGTGTTTACGTTTGTTTGTGTGTGTGCGTGCTGTGAGGAAAGGGTGCCAGCGGGGTGGGAGACGGACCCAGCGCCGCCCCCCCCACCGGAGAGATCTCGCCCTCCCATTCCACCGTGAGCTGCCGTCAAGACAGCTTCGTGTCCTGTTTCGTGCCGATTTCCGAAAAACCGACCAAAGAATTTACCGAATTTGGATTATCAGTGGTTTTGTGCTTTTGAGTGCCGTTCTGAACCGAGAAGACCTTACTTGGAGTGTTGTAACTGCCCCGCGGCGCGATGGCCGACGAATAAGTTCTTTCCGAAATTTTATTTTGGAAAATTTTCTTCAGCCTCCCTCATCCTTCGCAAATGAACTCTTTCCTGCTCAAGATGGATTTATGTTTATTTTTTCTCATTCTGCTTATTTCTATAGGTAAGCTTTTTACAAAACTTTAAGCTTAAATAAAAATTAAATAGTCAATAAAAAACAAAACAATCCGCCCATAAGATTTTTCTGACAAAACCTTCATTACTTTATCGTAAAATGTACTAAAAACTTAATTATATTTGGGTTTCAGATTTTTTAAATATTTTTTTTCTTAAAAACGCCTGCTTACTGTTTAAATATTAACAAATAATTATTAATAAGTCGACTTGATTTTGATAAGACAACGTTTTAATTTTTTTAATATATCCCATTATTATTAAAATTAGTTATCTTTTTAAAAAATATTAGACACTGTTTTGCCTAATTGGAAGTTGGCTTGGACCTTCGGAGTCCCCGTAAACACGCTGACTCGCCCCTTCGCGCGTTTTACCTTTTCCCGCCGTCATCAGTGAACTCCCATATAGGGAATTGATTCTCTGGCCAGTCCTAGATCCAAATACATCCTGTTGTTTTCAAACCTTGAACTAAATTCCATTTTCCAAAAGCAAAGTTCGCCGGATTAAAAAGAGAGAACAAATTATTTAAGCATGGGCAATAAAATTTACGGAATAAAAATTCTTTTTAAACTTGGAAGAATCCTTGGACAACTTTACTTCGTAACCAGACGTTTTAAAATATTCATATACCCATAAAGTCGTTCTTAATCCCTGGCATTTATTCATTGCATTTCCCCTGAAATCTATCAAAACGAGCACGTTTTTTATTAATTTATTACGTAATTTTGGCTCTATTTTTTCTTTTTTTAATTTGAACAGTGCTTGGGTTGGTTGTTTCTTTTGAGGCATTATACCTTTTCTTGATTTCTTCACATTAATATAAAAATGAAATATAAAAGGTTATGCCAAAAAAAAAAAAATATTCTATATAAAATGTTTCATCTCTACCAAAGGCCTCGTCAGTGTTTGATTTTGATTGCTTCCAAGTTTTAATTCCTTAGCGTAATATTTTTTAAACTTTAAATTAAGTTTACAACCCTACGGATTAAATCAAAAACAACAGATCTGTTTTGAAATTCCTTTGATGTTAGAACCATTAATTATTATGCGAAAGTTGCTTGATCTTGGATACTGTCCTTCATCGAGACTGCAACAGATATTATCGTTTGATATTGGCTAAAACAACAAAGAAACCGGGAGTGTCTGTAAAAATAATAGTCCCTTTAGCGATGTAATTGGTTAATGCCGGAAAGTAAATCACCTGAGCCTTACGTACCACTTTAATTTATTCTGTTGTTAGTTATGCGGTATTCTGTAACGAACCATCATTATGTAAGGAGATTTAAAAAAAGAAACTCGTTTAGCGGTTATTCCTCAATTTTAGTTTAGCAAAGAAATTTGTTAACATTAATGATTTTATGGTAATTGTATTTCTTTTTTTTACTTTACATTTTATGCTTTTTCAACATAGCTTTTAACAAATAAAAAGTCGCGATAGTTAAGATTTGCTTGCGGGCTGGAATGGGTTTTCATGCCTTGCTTGCGAGTCGTTCCATAGCAAGTAGCGAGAAAAGGCGGACCCAGGGAGTGTGTCCAACTGTACGCTAACCTTATTAATCGCATTAATATTTTGAAAAAGTAAGAGCTTCCTTTTCTTATTCGTTCAAACTTATAAAATTGAATGAGAATTTTACTTACAATTTTATTCCCTGCATAAAGAAATAAATTTAACACAAATTAAACGTGATTTTTACAGAAAACCTTGCGGTATTTTTTCTATCGCATAGTCACGATGCTGTGAACTTTTTAGGCTTTGACGGATATCAATTGTGAAAGTCACGATCATCTATGTTATGAAAGAGATTTTGATTCGTTCGAAAGCATATTGAGTTTTGATTACTGGCCAAATGCCATAATAAGGCGGACCCAAAATGTAGATGTAGATGATAATTTTTTTATTTGATCTTATTTGGTACCACCTGCAAATAGGGATAGCACCTGCAAATACCCTTTAATACCGGTTACAACAAACTTTATTGTCAGATCATTTATATACGTCAACCACTTTGTAACTGATGAATTTTTGATCACTTAGGATTTTGGTTTCTTTTAATTTCCTATCGTGTTTGTGCGTTCATTTCTTTCAAAATTGAAAATTTATTTTTGGAAGTACTAATCCGAAAGGCGGAATTTATGTGGCCGGTAATGAGCCGCATTGAAAGGTTAGAAAGTTTCTTTCATGCCCTTGGATATCTCCGGCGGCAACAAATGGCTTGCAATAAAACCGGCCTTGAGGTGCAAACCAGACATTTTTCCATGTCTTTGGCAATATTTCCCCTTATTTTCCAAGGAAAATATCCCATAGTTTCAATTCGGCCGAGGTCGACGGTGATTTTACCGTGCGCGGGCCCAAATTCAGCTCAGGGATTCAATCCCCACCGGACCCGGCTACAACTTATTGCTGAAATTTTCCGCTTGCCTGGAAGATATTCGGTATATTTCTTTCTGCACTATATACACAGGAACGCCTATATAGGCAAAATAAGTTTTATGAATGAATTGCATCTTGGAAATCCTTGAAAGTCTCTTCCTCTTTTTGTAATAATTTATATACATTATTAAAATTATTTGTACTGTCTTGCAAGATCATAAATTGTTTACCCGAATTGATCATATGCCATTTCAACATGTAAGCCTGAATTCGGAGGGGTTTTGGCTTGAAGCCATTTTCAATGAGTTCGCCTCGCTCCAAGTATTTCTGATTTGTAACGCGTTCACTTAGCCTTTACAAACATTCCTCGGGCTGGGCTTTTAAATATTCAAAACACACAAGTTTATGTAAATAAGGAAAAGAGGAAATCTCCCAAAGAAAGCGGAACACGGTAGCAACTGACGTGTGGAGTGCGATCTTACTGTCGACGGACTTTATAGTACTAAGCATAAGGTCATAAGCATAACTTTTGGTTCCTGAACATTTAAAGCTCTTATGTTTCAAAAAACAGCGGGAACTAGTGAACCTCATATCCAATTGATCGAATTAGGTTCAATTTTCAGTTTACACTAGTAATAATTTTGTCATATATGAGAAGAAAGATACATGGAACAATTGATTTAAACAATATTAAAAAGCCAGCGCGGGTCAAACCACAAACCGGTTTTACAGCCTTTTTGAGGGTTTAAGGTTCGTTTAAATTGTTCCAACTTTATGTCATTAATACCTTCGGCCCAGCAAGTATTATCGGGATCCAAAGTCGATGTCAATAAATACCGGAATCAACGGCAAATTAAGCCTTGCTTCCATTCCTATAATTATAGGTCCGGTGTGGTATTGATTTTATTACTTGGTTTATACAGAATTTTACCTCTTATTACATATTAGTTTGCGTTTAGCATTTCAAAAAAAATTTTCCACATGGCCTAACGCTTAACTATGTTATAGTTATAATTAATGTCTTGTTAAATTCTCCTATTTGATCTCTCGGAAACCACTAGGTCGAAAATCAATAACATGAAGTGGTCTAAGGTTTCTCGCGGTACAAGACCCTGCGCCTAAGCTGCCAGAAATGTCAGAAACAACCTAAACCTTCAATTTTGGACATGTTTGTTCATTAATTAAATTTGTTTTCTTCTTAAAAACAAAAGAATTCTCATCTTACTGGATTAACCAATAGAAAAACATGGGTGTTGTAAAAATATGATAAATTAAAAGCGTGAATAATGATTATTTTTTGTCTTGCATTGATCAAAAAATATAAACATTCTGTTCAATTTAAACAAAGATAAATTTTATTTATTTATTGTTAATAACAGCTTCCTCTAAGTCATTGTACTAGTCTCCCCTTATTCAGCTTTATTATCTGTCGAGTACTACATCTTCCCGACCGCCCGTTGCTTCCTTTTCCAGAACAAGATTCTGACTTAATTACAGAAAATATTTATTAATTAAGTCCGAAGTTATTGAACTAGCCCGCCATTGTAAAACGTAGAGAAAAAAGCATGGAATATTGCTAGATTTTTATTTTCCTATTGCAATTCACACAGAGAAATTATTGAATAATTTAAAATCTTAGGATTATTTAATACAATTGATCAAGGCTACAGGCTAAAACTCAGTTGTGATGTCACATAGAAAATTTATTATTTAAAATTGAAATTTCCATATTCGATCGATCCACTGGTTTATTTCTGTAATTTATGCTAGTTCGTAATTTATTCAGAATACGTAGTTTTCCTTAAGGGACGTTCACCGACCAAAGAACTTAAACTTGGTTGTCTGTTTTCTAAGGAAAATCCAAACAAATCTAATTTAGAACTGGAGGGAGTGCTTTTTTCTCAAGGAAAAGAAAACTTAAACTGTCGATTCTGGCCTGGTCTAACCGTTCCCATTTTCAAATGTACGTTTCCTGTCTGTATCAACAAATTGAAGAAACATCACGATAGTGTCATTCGTCGCATATTTTAATAAAGTATATTATTCACTATATCTACCCATGCTTGTCAAATTCAAACATCCATCTGATAGTTTGTAAAGTACATGAGAAGACAAAGTAATGTGTTATTTGCGCATACCGCCTCTTCAGATGGGAGGAATTCATATCGCAAGGTTACACGATGCACAACGGTACAGCGCTTTTTCAAGGTTTACGATTGAGGATTGGCCATGCATTTTAACAACTTCAAAATTTTGAAACTATTTTTACGATTGTATAACTTATACTCGTGGAGTAAAAAGGTTATCATACAAAAAGTTGGGTTATAACTGCAAAACCAAGTAGAGTATCTAAAACTTAAACAAAAGCTTCAGCTTATGAAATCGCAGTGTGATACTGTTTCCCATATTTGTTTATTTATTGTTTTTTTCTACTTAGCTATGTTAATTTGAATCCATGAAAAGCTTCTTAACAAAAAGTTAAGTAGTCGTTTTATATTTTGTTGTCGGCAACAAGTTCTACCACGTTTATCGCTTTTATAAAGTTCTAAAGCTTAGAAATAAATACTAAATTGTCTACCCAATATTATTGCTATCCTTCTATTAATTTTATCATCCAA